GGAACCCTTAGTGAGGTAACCCTGCTCTCAACCAAACCCTTCTCAGTGGAGGCCGCCACAGAAGGCTTGAATTTCACAATGCATGGCCCCTTCCTACCCACAATGGAAACCCCGTGTTCCTCTAGCTTCTTGAGCATGTCGAGGAGGAAGCAGAAAAGCTAAACTTTCAGTGCCGGGTGTTTGTCCTCTTAAACCAGCCTCATTATCACCCTAGGAAGCCTCATCCCAACCTTAAGTCATGTGACAAGGGGTATCACAGACCCATGAGCATTGGAATAAAGGATGAATACCTTTCCTATCTACCATACCTCCACAGGCTTCCTACCAGGCTATTTCACGTGACAACCAATTACAATTTGCCGTCGGAAGTTGGGAGCTAGGTTCTGGCTTACTCCCTCTGAGAAAGCTGAGCAGCTGAGCAGCAGCTGTCCTGGTCCCAGCCTCGGGCGTTTATCTAAACCTTGCCTGTGTCTTACTGGGATCCGTGAGCAAAAACAGGGGAAAGGGCCAGGCTCTCACTCAGAGGCTCTGCTGCAGCACATGCACAGGCCCATCCTGGGTTCTGGGCGACAAGCATTCCCAAAGCAGGGAGAAGGGGCGATATTTGTGCACAAACCTGCAGCGAGGAGGGGGCCCTGGACTTAAGAGACAAAGTCCTGGGACCTCTCAGGGCAGAGGGCAGTGGTCACTGAGCTTTTACTCTGCAATTAGCATTTCAAGCATCTACTAAAGTCAATTCCGTGGTGTAAGTTCTATGCTGGCTGGAGTTCCTGTAGTCAGGCCGTTCCTGGAAGAATCTGGGGAGAGAGGCACTTTGAGGGAGAAGCCAAGCCAAACACTCCCAAGGCAGGGAGACCTGAGGGAGTGAGGACACCAGTCTATTATGACTTAGTGGTTCAACTTCTACCCATGCGCTGGAGGGGGGAGTAAAAGCAGGCAGGAGGATGCTGGCTCCATGAACAATGAGCTTCCCACAGACAGGTCCTGTCTGACTCATTAACAGCCCTGGGGGAGGGGAGGTATATCATGATCGACTCCTCTCTCCTACTCTGTACACTTGAGTCACTCATACTGAGTCAGCTCCAAGGAGAAAAGCTGCGTCCAAGAAGCTGATAGATGCCGCACCTTATCGGCTGGAAGGCCCATGGGGCTTTCAGTGTGACATGCAGCAGATTTCTCTGTACAAAGGTTGCAGTTCTGGAAAGACAGAGCTGATCCACTAGCGTGTCATTATGTGGGGCAGGGTGTGTGGGGTAGGACGTAACTCGGCCCCTCCCTAGGCCAAATGAGTTACCATTTGGTTATAAATGGGAAGGGAAACTGCCGAAGCACAGTGCCCTGGGTAGGCTGATAAAAACTGTTTTGAAGAGGTGGGCTTTGGGGATGGCAGAGGGGAGAAAGCAGCACTCGAGTGCTGATTGTTGTGAGAGTGTCAAGGATCCCTTGTTAAAACAGGAGTCCCTGTGAGATGGGGCAGAGAAGGGCTCTGCAGGAAGAGGCAGCCTTCTCTGGCCTCACCCTCGAGAGCACCTCTCCTGGTGGCAGGAGCATAGGGTCAAACTCAGAACCTGTGGGGAAAGCAAGGGATGGGAGCAGTCAGGTCTCCTTCTAGCCTCTCCTTCTAGAGTCTCTGCTCAGAACTTAGACAATTAACGCCTGGTGTTGGTAAGCTGTGTACATCTTCCTCATATGTACGAAACAACTTTTTCAGAGTCAGAAACTTCACCAAAAAACTTCAAATAAATTCAGTCAAATTTCAGGATACAAAATCAAGAGCCACAAACTAAACAGTGCCCTAGATAATGGGGTCGCCATGTATAAGTTCCCGGAGAGAAGGACAGCATTTTATCTCCCACCCTCCACTGCCTCCAGCATGGGGCTTTACACACGGTACAAGCTCAACAACTATTTGCTGAGTGAATGAATGCTGCATGACAGGGAAGAGGGAGAAGTATTGGTATTTGGGGGACAAAGGTCTTTCCAGATGTATCCTTAGAATGCCAGAGGCACGTGGAGAGACCTCTGTGCTGAAGGTTCCAGTGCTTAGACTCCTAGTGATATCCCTGTTTACTCTCTCACTCTCACATTTCCTGAGGAGCTGCAGTGGACTCAGGTGTCTCGTTCTGCCAGCATCAGATAACCTAGAAGGCTGGGATGTAGTATCTCCTTCCTCTCCTAGGTCTGGTGTCCCACCATAAAGAAGCCAGGTTGGGAAGAATGGCAGCTGGAGAGGCCACACCCGAGGATTCAGGCACTCACAAAAGACCTGACCTCCGCGAGTTGCCTATCACCTCACCTGAGCAGGGGTCAGATGCAAGGAAGAGGGACTAAGGATTAGCACAGAGTAAGAAAAGCCCTGAGGTTCACCCTTTCTGATGCTAAGATGAGTACACAAAATACACACAGAGAAAAGGCAAGCCTGACAATCACTTCCAAGTGCTCACACTCACACTGTTACAGTCTTGACCCCAAGAGGAAGAACTCCCAAACCTTTTATGACCCTAGTCTCTCCAGATCTGGATGGTTCTTCTTGCTTTGCAACAGCCCCCTTTATGGCTCTGGGCTTCCCTGCCAAGTACAACTAGAAATTAAAATGGTCCTTTTTAGTTCTGAGCAAACAGGTGGGCTCTGCCCATGCACGGATGTGGAAACCTAGATGGCTAAGGCCTCGGCTGTTCCTCCCCAAATGGACTCTGACAGCTGAAAACCAAGGAGAGCAGATGCTGAGACATAACTAAGGCAGCTCAGCTGACTGATTAGGCGTACCAGCTGTGACGTGAGGTCTGGCCTGACAGGCACTAGCTGAGAGACCTTGGGCAAATCGTCTAGCCTCTCTAAGCCTGTTGACTCAATGGTAAAAAAAAATATCTGTCTGCTAGGGTGGTTGTGAGGATTAAATGTATCAGTAAAATACTTCACATGATGCACATAATAAACGCTCAATAAATGTTAGCTCTTTTAGCCTCCCTGTTATTAAATGATCACAATAAAAGACTGAATTTCCAGAGAAAGCAAGCTCTATAGTCTCCTTCCCTCCTGCGCTTTCCCTTCCCTAGTCACTATGACCTCCTTCTTGCTGAAAGAGGTCCCACTGTATCAAAAACTGTGGGTGGGTTATGTGCCCCACAAAGGCAGATGCCAACACCAAGGCTATATGCATTTTCTAACAACTGCAAATTCCTCATTCCTTTCTCCCTTCTTTTCTGTGCTGGGCTGGTCGCCAGGATGGGAGCTAGGCTGGTGGTGAGTCAGAGGGGGGAACTGGGGCACCATTGTCCGGCTGGGATACCAGGTCACTGACCCTTGGCTGTCCACTGGGCAACTTCGCCTGCTGGCAATGTGGAACGGAAGGTGAGTATAGCCTACTGGTGCGCTCACCTCTTCCCTGCTCTGCATCCTAAACGGATAACTACTGTACTACTACTGCTGTAGCTCAGTCTTCTTTCTAGACCCTGGGTAGGACCGTGATTTACTCTATACCAAGATTGCTTCCTTCTTTCCTTGTGCTTCCCCTAAATGATTTGGGAAAGCTCAACCGACATCCCTTCCCCTGAGAAAAGGCAGGTAGCAGGAATGCTGCAGATGCCTCGGTGATAAAGAATGAACCTTACCCTTAAGAAAACAAAAAGCAGGATCTTCAGGGAGTGGGAGGGAGGGATTATGAAGAGGAGTGGTCAGGAGAATGAGGCTGAGGTTCTATTTAACATCTCCCCGTCCCCAGTACACACAAAATCCACACACACAGTCCCTTCTCCTCCCCATGGTGGCTGCTCTGAGAGGTCCTGGTAGATATCCCAGGTCTCAAGTCAGGGTGGGGAGGGTCTCTGCCACGGTTCCCAGTAAGTAAGGAGTTAATGGGATGGCAGCGCAGTTCAGTAGAAACAACACTGGACACAGTCAGGTGTACCGCCTCGCCTTTAACTCTAGGACCTGAGACAAGTCACTTTATCTCTCTGGGTCTCGGAGTCCTTCCTTTGTAAAATGAGGCAGCTGGAGCACATGGATTCTAAGGTTTGTTTCCATTCTGACATTCCATGCTTTTATCAGTGAAATGAAACAGATGGAAGGAAAGAGAAGGACAGAGTGACCCTATGTCAGACATCCTGTCTCCATGCCACCTTGGCCCTCTGTCCCTCCCGGGGGTTTTACCTCATCCTCATTCTCCACTTTGGGGTTGCTGGCTGTTCGTTTCAGGTTGCTGCTGAGACTTATACTGGCGGTGGCGTCTGACTTAGAGCGCTGGTGAGTCCTTTTGGAGGGAGACAGCCCTGTGTCGGGGGCCGGGCTCAAGGAGGGCAGCTCCCTCTTTCGGTGAGCTGGCTTCAGCTCATCCGAGAGGATCAGCTTCCGGAGCTTGGTCCCGCGGGAGTGTCGTTGAGTGGAAATGTGCATGTCTGAAGAGTAGGCCCCGAGCAGCAGGGCACACTGGAGGGAAAAGTTAATGCTCTGGCGGCACCGGTGCACTATGTAGGGCTTGATGGCGTCACCCACGTCCTCATCCATGTGGATGTACATGTTAAGCAGCTGGGGCAGATAGAAGCCCACGTCCTCGTTGCGAAAGCAGAAGAGCCGATTGCCGATGTAGGCCTGCACTCCAGGCTCCTTGGAGTTATACAGGTATGAGATGGCCATGGAGATGTCAAATAGTTTGGACTCAAACAGCCTCAGCAGCCAAGACTGCTTGGCTGAGTTGTTCTGCCGCCGCCTTCTTGCTCCCTTGGCTGTGCCCGAGGCCACGGTGACCCCCATCTCATCTTCCTCCTCTCGTACCTGGGCAGGAGGATCGTCCAGGCAGCGGATCTCACTGTCCACACCGTCCCCATTGACCACCTCCAGCGGAGAGCCTCTGCTAGAGACGGCCACGCCTCCGTGCAAAAGCTTGACCTTCTCCAGCACCTCCTGGCAGGCCTTTTGGGCCACTTCGGGGTCAATCACTGATAGTTCCCCGACCCCCTCCGTGATGACGCTTAGCAAGGAGCCCCCGTTATTCCCCGATGGACCAGGAGTGGGCTCAGAAGTTGGCTTCAGGGGCGCAGGTTCCACTACCGTGTCTCCCATGGCCACAGCCAGACTTCGAGCTTCCGAGCTACAGGAGGGAGGAGGGAGGAAGAACAGAAAGGAAGACACATATACATATAGGTTAGTGGTGCCATCCTCAGGTCTTCCCTTTGCCCTGAAACCTTCCCAGGTACCTCCTCTCTTTTTGTCTTTCTGGGCTCCTTCAAAAACAGATGAAGCGTCATCTCCCGCCAAGAAGCTTTCCTTGACCACCTCCCCTCTAATCACCGCTTTCCCCTTCCTTCCTTCTGAATTTATTCAGCTTGGACTCTGTTCCTAACTTGCAAAATGTTGCTTTATATGTGTTATGTTTATATAGGGCTACAAATTCTTCAGCTAGATTGAAAAGCATTTCTGGTCTTATTCCCTTGTCCCTATTCTATCTTTGTGCTCTTCCCATGTCTCCTTTAAAATGCCCGCCCATAACCTTTGCCTTTTACTCTTTAAACTGTATTTCCTTACTCATTAACATTCCATACACAGGTCCTAAGTATCTCACCTTTATTTACTATTAAAGTATTGATTTATTTTTCTAGTTAGTGATACATTTTTACCTTCCCTTTTAGAATCAAAGTTCCCACGGAATAAGGGCCAGCAATATCAAGCCTAGCTTCACTTCGAAATAAATACCTCTAAAACAACTATCAACCGCTCTGCTTAAGTCCTGCCATTTGTCTGACTTCATGATATCATTTCCTCTTTCTTCAGTGCTGTGGCAGCTAAAGTATAGTGGAGTTCTGAACTTGGGGTCAAATAGGCTGGAGTTCAAAATCCTGCCATTATGAAATGTATAAACTTATGCAAGTTATGTGGCTTCTGAGTTTCAATTTCCTCGACTGTAAAAATGAGAAAAACATATTTATACCTCACTATTGCCACAAAGAATAAATAACTTCATGCACGTAAAAAGATCGAGCATAGCCCCTGGCACAAAGCAGCACTCGATAAATGCTAGTTGAATCCTCATTACTGAAAAGCTTAGTAAACTCTGTGTGTGTGTGTGTGTGTGTGTGTGTGTGTGTGTACCTGTGTGCGTGCACACACATATACTGTTTATTATAAGGGAAGTGAATTTCAGTTACCTTGTTGTTTGAAAATCTTCCAAAACATTTATGACAGCCCTCTGCTATCCCAATACTACTTTCCCCATTATCATACAACACTCCAAGAACTGGAGGGGCTGTGGGGAAAAAAAAAAAGGGAAAAGAAATTAGGCTGGAACTCATGGGTCTAGAACATCTAAAGAACAGAGGGAACAGGAATTACACAACCAGGAATCCCTCTCTCTGGAGGGAGTCTCGGGAGGAATTTCAGTGAGAACACTGCTGACAAAAGCCACTGCCTTCCTAAAATGATTCCCCAGGGCCTCACCAAATCCAGATCAGGAGAATCAGTGCAGAACAGAAAGAAATTTCAAAGTAAGGACTGGGAGAGGCACACAATGTCAGATCAACCCAGCTCCAGAGGATGATTGCAGTCAGCTCAGAGGCTCCTCACACAAACGCAGATACAGTGAATCTAAAACATGCTCAAGGATGTGGGCAACAGAAAGGCACAGGCTGCTGGAGAGCTGGAGTGCAGGGTCAACCACTGATAGTTCCCTGATGGCATCACCTTTGACCCTAGTGAACCTGGGTGCGTATACTTTGTGGAGGTGGAAGGAGGCTCCGGATACAGATGTCACTCTGGAAAACCCCATTTTCCACTGCCCCTTCTTACTCCTCTAACATGTTAAGAGTCCTGGTTACTTTCACCTGCCCAATATTCTGTAGTCTAGCTCCCTGTCTCCCAGCAGTCAGCATTAAAATCTTGTAGGAAGGCAAAGGGAACTCCTCTGTTCTCAGAGATCACCAAAAAAGGCTACTGCAGTTTATCCCTCCCCCAACTCTGTCAAGTAAGACGTTCACCCCCGAGTTTAATATCCGATGCAGTTTGAGTGTGTCATTGGTAAAAAGGTGGCAGCTCTCTCACTATACTCTCTCCCCAAATTATGCAGTGTCTTCTAGCAGTAGAACCAGCATGGCTGCCTGCTGGATCTGTCTCTACTCGCAACTACGGGTTGCACAGGAATAATGAGAAAGCTTTAATCACCCCCTGCCACACCTCTCTGGGGCACTCTGCACCAGAAGGTCACTCTAATTCAACTGGGACCACTACCTTTTAAGTCTACTGAGAAACCCACATGGCAGCTTCAATCGTGTTATGCAAACAACCCTTTTTCTTCTCAATCTCTCTATGCTTGGCACATCTTTCCCTTTTTCTCTACTCCAGAGTCTTTCAAGTCACCAACAGCTCCTAAGGTCCACTTTTCAAAACTTCCAAGGAAAAGGAAGTTAAGACCTTCTCCCACATACAGTGTCTCAGATCTCACCAGGAAATGCAGTAGCTGTCTGCTCCGATTGATCACAGTGGGGATTATTACTGGCACCAGTGAAAGAGGTAAGGATAGCATTTCTTTTACCCTGGGACTCAGCTAGGAATCCCCTCTGACAGTATGCAGGGGACTTTCCCACTGAATAGAAACCCCACTTGGCAGCCGTTACTCCCTAGGGAACCAGACGATGTCAAGAGGTGCAGGGAAATCAGACTTCTCTCCTAGAGAAGCAGCTCTGCCCTGGAAACGGCCCAGCTGGGCCTCCCTCCTGGCCTCTCTGAGCCCGCTGCATCTGAAGCAAACAGGGGGGAAAGAAGTACCAAAGGGAATGTAGGTTGTTTTTGTTAAATTTAGACAATAAAAAAAAAACAGGAAAGGTCTTCTCTAAAATCTAAATCCAGATATGGTCCTCAATATCAATTCATTCACTTTCAAATACAAAGAAAAAATAGTATTGATAAGGAACTAGAAAGGACTAGAAAGTGAAAGGACTAGAAAGTGAAAGGAAAAAGGAAGAAACAAGTTCTGCAATCAGCACCCTTTTTACAAGTCAGAGAGTAAGTAAAAACGGAGAGAAGACAATCAAATGACTCCCATGGCTCTCAACGACATTCAGACGAATGAGGCTGCATATGCTGCACTAGGTGCCCAATCTGGCCCCCCAAAGACTGGAAGGGAATTCAAGAGGCCTCCCTCACCCCGGCCCAGCAGCTGGCTTCTGGGAAAGGGGAGTGAACGGCCTGGGCTCCACAGCTGTGTCTGGGCAATGTCGGGAATCCTCATCTGAGCGTCAGGGGGGTTTGCAGAGCAGAGCAGCTGCAGAGGGCAGAGGGGTTACAGGCATGTGTTCTGTGTGACTGCGCGTTTAAGTAAATGTCTCCAGAGGACTATGGAGTGAGGGCATGTTATCACTTAACTTGGCTTTCCACTGCTCTTCACCTCAAAAGATTCTATGCAAACAACCCTCCACTGGCCTCCCTTAAAGGATTTACTGAACTGGCCCCTGCTAGGACAGGACGGTCAAGAGCCCTGAATCCATCCCCTCACCCTGCTCATCACATTCAAAGGGTCGTTTTGGCCGAAAACATCCAAAATCAAATATTTTTCCATGGGCTAAATATATATGAATTGGTTCAGAACCATCCCCATGCTTTTATATGTTCCTGTATTTTCACAGAATGGCCTTTAAAAGATCATCTGATTTCGTGCTCTGTCTCCAAACAGAAGGTGAGATCAACTTTCCTTCTCCTTTGAGATGGATCATATGAATTGGAAAAAGGGAAAGTGGAGCCAGTATCTTCATCCCACAAGATGGGTAGTTAAGAGAGACTGTTAAAGTTAATGGAGCCCAGCCGGCGTGGCTTAGTGGTTGAACAACTCTCTCTCTCTGTCTCTCTCTCTGTCTCTCTCTCTGTCTCTCTCTCTCTCTCTCTCTCCTCCCCCACCCCCCTCTCTCCCTTCATCTCTCTCTAAAAACATTTTTTTTTTAAAGTTAATGGAAAAGAGAGAGCATCTGATATCTTGCTCCCCAGTGTATGTCATCAGTTTGGCTCAAACTCATAAAAAATTCTTTAAACATTGTTAATGGAAAAGAAAAGGAGGTTCAAATATGTTATTTAAGGTTTCCTTAATAATTAAATAAAGTAACATAATCACTTCCTTGAATGAAAATGATATAATCATGTAGACAAGAGATATAAATCCTAGAGCTTAATCCTCCTTGTAACAACTAATAAATCAAGAAATAGAGACACAAGCATTTTGCCTAAAGTTCTGGCAATAACCTTCAGAAGTCAACACTGAGCTAACGAAGAGGCTAATTCTAAAGGAGTAGGAGAAGAGATGAATGGCAAGTCCTGCTGCTTTTCATCATAAAGTCTTACGTATCATTGGATTTGGGTATACCAAGTACACATACACCTTTGATGATTTTTTTTTAAAATCGCTCTTCAAGAGAGACTTCACATAACTCAAGGCTACCTGTTCTCCTGTTGAGAAGCTCCTTCTCTTGCTTTAAGGTCTAATTCACACCTTGCTTTGAGGAGGTCTCAGCTCATCTTTCCCCCTTAACCCCAATGATAGAGATGGAGACTGAGTCCTACTTTTTCCTTGTAGAAACAAAGGGCCAAGCAGTCAAGCAGGCTCAAGCCCTAATAGGAACCAGGTAAATGGTTACCCAAAGCACCAAGGGAGGTTGGCATCCGGAGAGAGGGCATTCTCAAGCTACCAGCGGGAGGGCAGGGAGGGCAGTGGTCTCAGGATGGCTGAGTCAATATTGAATCAGGCTGAGAACTCTCTCCGCAGTGCCATGGAGCTAGTCTAAGCAGATTCCAGCCAGACAGCCCAAGCCAGCTCGGGGAGCCTCTGCTGAAACAGACAGACGACAACGAAAGCAACCTGTACACTCACCTCTCTCTGAATTGATCCTCCCTGCTGCAAGCCCCAGATGGGCCTGGACTAGGTTCTCTCTTATCTCATGCCAATGACTGAAAGGTTCCTCCCAAAGTTCTTCCCCAAATCACAGAATCTCAATTTGCTGCTTTGGATGGTGTTCAGCAAGTATGTTCTCATGCAGTGTGAACCCAGCTCTGAGAAGCAGGAAAACCAAGGAATACGGTTTCTCTTCGGAAGGGCCTCCAAGGAGTAAAGCTGCTCCTAAAAAAGGGAGGTGATGAGCAGACTGCTCTCTGGCTAATGAGGAAAGACAAGGGAGAATGGGATGAGGTTGTATGATTACTTTCAAACAGGCCTAGAGTCGGAAGAGGAACGGAACTTCATGCGTCCTCTTTGCCATCGCAGGCCGAGAGAGAGAGAGAGAGAGAGAGAGAGAGAGAGAGAGAGAGAGAGAGAGAGAGACAGACACACACACACACACACACACACACACACACACACGGCAACTAGTTCCCTATGTCCCAACTCACTCCCGTTCTCTTCTCCAGCTAGCTTCCTCAAGGATCTTGGCCGCGCCCTGACCGGTTCGGCTCGGTGAATAGAGTGTCGGCCTGTGGACTCAAGGGTCCCGGGTTCAATTCCGGTCAAGGGCATGTACCTTGGTTGCGAGCACATCCCCGGTAGGGGGTGTGCAGGAGGCAGGTGAATGATGTTTCTCTCTCATCAATGTTTCTAACTCTTTCCGCCTCTCCCTTCCTCTCTGTAGAAAATCAATAAAACATATAAAAATAAATAAATAAATAAATAAATAAATAAATAGAAAGGTCTTGGCCACAAACATCCTTTCCACCTATGGAATCAGGAGTTATGGATCTAGTACAAGTGGATGAGCTCAGCAACTATTGCAGTGGGGAGGGAGGTGGGACGGTTGGGGGGAGCAGGGTTTAGAAGCAGGCCTGGAGCTTATCTTTCAAACAGATTTATTCCCATGCTTGTAGACTAGACCAAGGAAAATTCTCCAGGCAACTAAATCACTACTAATAACTCTTGTCTGAGAAACCCAGAATACTTTGTAAAAAAAATTAATTGAGTCTACTCCCCGCCCCCCAACCCATATCCTGCTATTAGCCTATCGCTGCCGTGATGCCTGTAGAGTGGGCCACTTTCCCAAAAATGTCACCCTAGAGGTCCAGCAGGAAGTCACACGA